GGACACAGCGATAAGGTTTGGGGCTTATCTTGGAATCCGGCAACTGGAACTTCTGATATCCCTCCTGTTTTCGCTTCTTGTAGTGGTGATAAGACTGTTCGAATCTGGGAGCAGAATTCTTCTAATCGCCTTTGGCATTGCAAGGCAGTTCTGGAAGAAACCCACACTAGAACTGTTCGATCCTGTGCCTGGTCGCCGTCTGGGAAATTATTGGCGACCGCCAGCTTTGATGCCACCACCGCCATATGGGAAAACATTGGCGGTGATTTCGAATGTGTTTCTACCTTAGAGGTATTTATTTTAATTTGTTTAAATTCTCGATATTTATGTCGCGGAAGGATATATATAACCGACCCCAATTGGTTTAGACTAATTTTTTTTTTTTTTTTTGTGGGTTTTTGAAAATAGGGTCATGAAAATGAAGTGAAAAGTGTGAGTTGGAATGCTTCAGGTTCGCTCCTCGCGACGTGTAGTAGGGATAAGACAGTTTGGATATGGGAAGTGATGGCTGGGAATGAATTTGAGTGCGTTTCAGTTTTGCAAGGACATACGCAGGATGTTAAAATGGTTAAATGGCATCCAACTATGGATGTTTTGTTTTCTTGTAGTTATGATAACACTGTTAAGGTACTCTTTCGGGCAAAAATTTCTTATCGCATCTTTTATTTTCTCTGCAATGAATAAGATTGTGTGAATATTCGCAGCTGCTTTTGAAATCAGTTAAAAATGTAGGACAATGTTGAATTTTTGGTGGAATAACAGGTTTGGGCTGAGGATGGTACTGGTGATTGGGAATGTGTTCAAACCTTAGGTGAATCTAACAAGTACTACCTCTCTCTTCTTTTGTGTTAGACCATTATGTAGCTGATACAATTAGGTTTGATGTAGACTTGAAAATTTCTGTCACTTGAGTTCATGTTATTTGTTGGCTTATTAAGAACTCTCTTTTTGCGATATGATGATTTTATCTAATTGAACAAGGTTTGATTTCTTCTCAGTGGTCACTCTTCTACTGTCTGGGCATTTGCTTTTAATGCTGAAGGAGATAGAATGGTTACTTGCAGGTATGTAGAACTTTTTTTTCATTCTGATTATCGTTGATTTTGGAGATTTTTATCTTTTGAGGAATATATATAAAGAGTTGTTGTGAGAAGGGAACTGAACAGATTTTTTTGGATTGTTTGCAGTGATGATCTTACCCTAAAAATATGGAAAACAGATGTTGGAAGGATGCAATCGAGCGATGACCTTGCGCCTTGGTGAGAAACATGCTCTCTGTGCATGTTGAATCTTCAATTTTTCTTTTTATATCAGCCTTTTGAAATATTCCATGGATGAGTATGTAACCATTTATAGAATTTGTTCTTGTTTCTAGTAGTGCATCTTTAATATTAGAATTCAAGGAAAGGTTTCAAATTAAGTTGGGGTATAACTTACAGCAGAATTATTTGAAATTGTTGATGGTAAGTATGTCGGCCCTGTGTAGTAGAATGCATGATAATAGTTTTTAGTATTTTTGCATATGACGCTAGAATTATTTTCAATGTGGTTTATTTGGATCATTATATAAAAAATCGGTTATGGTGCTCGTACAAGCCAATTTACCTAGTGAAATGATGTGATATTTATGCAGTGTCAGAGAATGTAACGTATACCGTCCATCCCAAAACCAATTGTCCACCTTTTTGTTTTGGGATGTCCAAAAGTTTATTCACATTCATTACCAAGTCATCTTAACAAGTTTTTGTCAAAGTTCCTTTATAATAGATAGAAAAAGAATAATAGATTTGGGATTTGCATCTGAAAGGATCAATAATTGTTTCATTTTTATGCTCTATTTGATATGTAAAACTATTGGCCTTTATTTTCTGATTATGCAGTGTACATGCCCACCCATAAAACAACAATTATTGATTACATGGTTTGTTTTTCAGGACTCATTTGTGCACTCTCTCGGGTTATCATGACAGAACAATCTTTTCAGTTCATTGGTCAAGGTAGCAACCATGCAATTTAATTGTATTAAGTATGACGAAATATTTGTGGTTTTAAATTATTTTTGGCTGTAGTTGTGTTCTTCAAATTCAAATAGCGCTACCTTTCTTTCTTGAGTTTAGTTGTCTTTGGGTGCTCTTGTAGAAATTTTCTAGGTTATCCTTTGTCTTTCAGTATTGGGTTTTTCTAAATTCTCTATGTTTCTACACCTCTTCATGCTTGAATAGGGAAGGTATTATAGCAAGTGGAGCAGCTGATGATGCGCTACGATTTTTTGTGGAGAGCAAAGATGGTTTGGTATTCACAATTTATTTCCTCACATCAATTATATCTACTCACAGCAAGTGCAACGGTGCTTCATATAAAAGGATTAAGTCAGAATATTCTCTGTTTGTTACAGGTTGACAGTTCTTCATATAAACTGTTGTTGAAAAAGGAAAAGGCTCATGATATGGACATAAACTCGGTGCAATGGGGCCCTGGGGTAAGATTTGTTCTGAAAATGTGAGATTAAATTTATGCATGTAGCTATCTGGTATGGTGGATTTGACATTTGTGCTGAAATAAATGCCTTCATTAAGTGCAATAGGATCTTGTGGGAGGAATGGGAGGCAGGGTTGTCCGTAGATTCTTGGGTTCTTTGGCAATATGGTAATGCTTGCTAAGCAAGTGTCTTTGTAAACTGAATAGATATTTCCCGCTTGCCCTGGCATCTTATTTCTTTAAACAACCTATACTACTACCCCTTGCAGAAACAGTAATAACGAAGAAAACCCATCCTGACACTTGAAACTTCAGTTCTCCCACCAATGGCTGTTTTTTATCAAGATCCAACAGGTGTTTCCAACAAACAGCCCACTGGGCGTGCATGAGTTTCCACCACTCCCAAAACTTGAAATCGCATCTTGAAAGGCTGGAGAAGGCAAAAAAAAAAAAGAAAAAAAATCCCATTTTAGAGCCTACAGTATCCTTCATTCTGATTCTTGTTATTATTGTTTTTTTTTTTTTTTTTTTTTGGGGGGAGGGGGGTTGTTTGGGTGCTGGTATGTATATGTGCAGATTTAATGGATTGAAGTCACAATTGTATTTGCAATGTGTTCGGTGTATGATTGTTGATTCTTACTAGGAAACTCGACTACTTGCTTCCACAAGTGATGATGGGACAATAAAGATATGGGAGATGGCAACTCGAACCTGATAGATCTTTGATTTTGATGGTTACGACTTCATGAAGTCGTGGAAATGATCTTATATACTGGGCACAATTTGTGAGATCAAGAATATGATATAGATATCCCTTGTTAATCCCTTATTATTATTTGATCAGTGTAATAGGTGGAGTTAGGTGGACTTGATATTGCTTTTCAATGGTGGTTTTTTGCAGGCTTCCATATTAAATAAGGCACCTGTATCTGTAATCGTATGTAGTGATGTATAATTGGAATGGTCAAATTGAAGCCACTCATGCTATAGGTTTTCTGAACTAGACTGTATATTCTGCCAGAACTAAATTGAAAAGAAAATAATCCTGAGTTTCGGTATTTGGATGTTACAATTTGGTGTGTTCTATTTTACTCATGATCCTTCTTCTGGTTCTATGGCATGCTGTTTGTATATCAACTGTTGATGCTCTGTTCATAATTTCACATAATTTTCCACCTCTTTCAGTTGTTTCTGTGAAAAGCATTAGAGTTATGCTAGGAAGTATTTTCTAAAAGTTATTCTGATAGCCGACCATCTCCCAAGTTTACTTGACGAGATGGAAGGCTCCCATTTTGCGCAGCCTTAGGGCCTTTCTTTCCATGGAATTAATATCTTCATTTCACTCTCTGTTACTCTATGCATCAAACGTAAGTAATTAGGATTTAGGCCTTAAGCAGAATAAGGTCCATTAATTAAAACTCTAAGCGGGCTCTTAAGTATAAAAGGCTTAGTGGTCATTATGAGTTTTTATGTTGCTAGATGAACTACTATTGTCAGTTAAATGAGTCAAAATATTGACGTTCACGTTTACAGATATATTACTATGACAATTAACGAATTCACATATCAACATACCACATTGATGCATAACATGATACATAACATGTTGATTGCAACATCAGCAGATCAGCCAGTAATTGAATTCATCCAACGTTAATCTCTGTTTATAGATAAATATTTGATTTATTACAAGTTTAAGTAATTGTAAATTGTTATATCGACAATATCTTTCATCTATGAATTATTATTAACAATTTCGAGTTTCATCGACAAGCTTAAAATGCTGCTAATTATCCTCCTTGATTACTAACTTGTAGTAGTAGTCGTAGAGATGGAGACTGGATACAGTTAATGTAAGAGAGGAGAAAATTTAAAGATTTGCAGTTGAAGTTGAAAGTTGGCCATCAGTTGAACTGCAGTAAACAAACAAAACGAACCCACTTCTCCTCTTATCTCAGTCCAGAATAAAATTGGATCTCACAACGGCCCTAGCGTTTTATGATTAAGCATCCAACAAAGTAGGGGCATGCTTGGGCTTCGGCACAACATGTCTGATCTTTCTCCTCCAAACCATATGTATTCACTAACTCTTCCAACATTTTTAACCTTTGAATATGGCCCATATTGATAATAACACATCATAAACACATTCCCACATTCTTAGTAAATATATATATATATATATATATATATATATATATATATATATATATTCTAACCATATTAGTAACCAATCAGATGTCATCAAAACCTTGTGATTTTGCATTTTCGTTTTTCTTAGGCTTACCTTATGAAATTATGACCTGAATTTTACAGGCATGATTTATTCATGAGAGAACATCATGCTAAAATCTTGTGAATAAACGACTTCCTGTTTCTCATGACTACAGAGGCCTAATGTTCATGTTCTTTAAAGAATCAAAGTTTCCGTCAACTTCATTAATCATTATATAAACCATTTCCTGCTCGCTTACCCTTCAATTGCTTAAAGACCGATACATCTTCAGCCTGCGCTTCCAACAATGGAAAATCAAATGCCATCTGCACTTACCTTCACCATCCTCCTCTTCTGTAAGTATTCTTTCTCCAAATTTTGGTTACATCTAAGATGTCAACTCAATCATATTCCATGTATTTTCACTAAGATCAACTTCTGACATGAATTAAAAAAATATCGTGCAGGTTTCATACATGCAGAAGCTCAATCGGTCATTCTCTCTTTTAAGAACAACTGCCCATTCACCGTTTGGCCAGCAAGCCTAAACAATGCTGGCAATCCACAGTTATCTCCGACAGGCTTCACATTGACATCAGGTGCTTCATCTTCTCTGAGCATCCCTGCCCCATGGTCCGGTCGCTTCTGGGCCCGAACACAATGCTTTACAGATTCCTCAGGCAAGTTTACTTGTGCCACCGGCGATTGTGCCTCTGGTAGAGTTGAATGCCACGGTGCCGGTGGGATACCACCATCGTCCTTAGCAGAGTTCACACTAAAAGCTAATGACGGTCATGATTATTATGACATCAGCCTGGTCGATGGTTTTAACATCCCACTTTCAGCAACTCCACAAGGTGGTTCTGGTGGGTGCAGTTCTACAAGCTGTGCAGCTAATGTGAATTCTATTTGTGATTCTAATTTAGCTGTGAAGGGATCAGATGGAATTGTAATTGCCTGCAAGAGCGCATGTTTGGCATTTAACCAGCCACAGTTCTGCTGCACCGGTGAGTTCAGTACACCAGACAAGTGCCTTGCTACCAACTACTCAAAAGTCTTCAAGCAGCAGTGCCCTCAGGCTTATAGCTATGCTTATGATGATAAAAGTAGCATACTTAGTTGTCCTACTGGATCTAACTATTTAATCACCTTCTGTCCATGATGATTAGTTATCTACTTCATGAGTAGCACAAATTAAATTTCTCAAGGACAGGATGACGACCTTCAACAATAGTGGATGTTAGAACCAAACAAGGGAGATTATGATGCTCAGGTTGTCTTTCATATCGAAAATAAAAGGAAATTATTATTAGAAGTTGTTAAAGTGTAGAGCCAAGGAACCAAAAAATTAAAACATCCAAATGCAAATGCAAATGCATCCGAGAACAAAACATACAAAGCATAAGAATACTCTATTATTTTCAAGTTCAACTTGCCTGCTAAGTAGCAGTCATTTGCAGGACCAAGATGACCAGTGATTTTCTTAAAAAACTACACAAATCACAGCTGAATTAATAGTCAGAATCAATTTTTAACCTTTTCGCTGCAGTAAGTAGGTGCAGACAAATATGCCAGGTTGCATTGATGCATTTTGTTGGGAGGCCGGGATACTATTTTGTGAAAAGAAACCATAAATACTTGAGATGATGTGAAATTTTGGATTATATGCAGAGTAATAAGTTGAACTGGCAGTGAAACAAATACAATCTTAGTAAAGAAGGAACTTTTGAGGAGCTGGTAGGGCACTTAGTTACTTGACACTAGCACAAATTCCAATCCGGAGCAACGAGTAATTGCATTTTGTCCTCGATCATAAATGAGCTAAATAACCCCTATTATTTTGGCTAGAATTGGTTCATAAATGGCCTCATTGAGCTGTTGTAAGGGTACTCTATCATTGCTCGATGAACACAGCACATCATTTGCAACCACCATCAATTAAGTACAGAACTTGCAAAGCAGACCGATAGTGTCTACGCCTGAAAAGAGGTCGTTTGTACCGTTAACAGGCCATTATAGTCAACAAGAAGAGTCAGTAGCCACAGCAGGAGAGGGAATTTTAAACCTCACGTGTACGTGGCTCTCCACTAAAGGACTGCATCCAATTGTTCCAATAAAAGAATCCTATAACCAGTGTATATAACTCATTTTCAAACTATGTGCAGACCTTCCTGATAATAATATTGAGGAAGCAGGCATACTTGAAAAGAATGAAAGTTAACTACAACAAACAAAACAAGTAAAAGTCGAGCAATTCTATAAACAGAGAAAACTTTAAAGGAACCGTATTATGAAAGTGATTATCTTTCCTTTACAGAGTCACAAGTGGAAAGCAGGAGGGTGCTACCTTCTGAGCGGCTTATAAAGGCAAACAGTGACATACTTGGATTGGAATCTATGGGTCAATCCAAGAGCAATTAGAGACTGAGATGCCCATCCTTTCTCAATGTAAAGGTGGTTCAGCACGACATGTTGAGGCTTCGAAGAAGAAGCTTCATCAAGGACTGTTAGATTTAGCTGTGGTGGCACTGCTAAAGGCTCCTTTGCAAAATCGTCCTCGGCTGGAAATGCTTGACTGTAACTGGAGTCTGGAGATGATGGAACCTCAAACTCAACCGCACTATCAATGTTTTCTGGCACATAATTCTGCAAGAAATAGCAAAAGGAACTTAGAAATCAAGTCATCAACCAATACATGTATGCGTTATAAAACATATTTCATTGGACCAAGAAAGCTTTATAGTTTTCTTCCTCATAAATGAATATCAGGAAAGAAGATATTTATCAAGTCGAATCTTGGTTATATATGCAGGATTCATGTTGCAGCTCCCATATGGCAAATAAAAGGCAATTTTGGATTGCTTCTCCCAACCCATGGTTTGCATAACAGTCCCAGTTTATCAAAAGCATCCTGAACATATCCCTTCCAAAACCATGATTCTGGGCTCATTTAGTTTCAAAGACCATCATCACTAACAACAATTTGAACAATCAAATGCCTCTGGATATGGAAGACCAAGAAACATGTCAAGATACTTACATGAACATCAAGAAGATTACAAACACGGCCCATTTCATCAGTTACAAAAGGAAGATCTGGAATATATTTCCACTCTCCATCCACAATGAACTTATAATGGTATATGCCCGATGGGAGGACCATAAGAATAGAATGATCCTTGCCAGATCTTTGTAATTTTTTCCTGCAAAAGACAATAAAAGAAATCGTATAAGTTTCCTCAAAAGCAACAGTTACTCCTTTTGCGTCTTCTATGCTTAAGATAGTTGCTAGACCTTACCTTGATGTAAAGTTATCCCATGATCCTTCGACAGCCACATCATTTCCACCATAGTTCCACGTGACAATTGTAGGGATGCCTTGCTCAGGGGGTTGATCTTCATTAACAACTTCAGGGGACTCATTCTGCCACATCTGATCAAGAGAGGGAGGAGCATTAGGCCTTTGCAAGGGAGCAACAGGAACCTGCAAACACACGATACAGAAGCAGTTACATCAGCTACAATGCTATTACATGCGGACGCAATATCTGCAGTTCATTCCATAGAGCCAGTCTAGCTTTTAGATTCCCCACCAAGCACAAAAATGGAAAGCACCAAAGAACCTAAACTACAGCTATCCACACCAATATCCACCAGATAAATCACACGCATTCTACACATAAAACAGCAATTGGGCGGCCAAAATTAACCCAACCTGACTCTAAACCAGACTAGGTCAGCATCACACTCAGATTGCAAATGCCTCATATAAAACAAACATAAGGAGCACTGTAAACTAGCGGATCACAAGCATGCATATCTGAAACTGCATATTTCAGTCATTATCAATTCTCAAACAGTTAACAAGGACATCTAAAGAACAGAAACAAACCAAGCTCTCAAATCATGTAACATTCTTAGAAACTCCACTGATAGAATCTTCAATTCACATTAACAGCGCCCAAGCCCCTAATAACCCTCTCCCTTGATTAATTGATCACAATTCAGTTATAGACAACATTCACAAAAATCTCACACTTCAAAAGATACGTAAATAAAACCCATCTCATGAAGCAACTAAACCACCTTAATTGAGATCTTAAAAATAAAAACAAATTGAGAAAATTAAAGAAAACACATATCTTAAAATGCTTAAAATCCCATCATCAAAGGCAATTAGCTACTAACAAGCTTCATCTTCCTTTCTCATTACAGATCTTAATAAACCGCAAATGATAATAAAGACATAAACTTTGATTTAAAAATCCTTACTTTTTCAATCAAATTATTATTATACCTGAGGAGGGAACAATAGAGGCGATGTGGATCGAGCAGGAACATGATCAGGAGGACTATTATTATTATTGGTATTATTATGATTATTATTATTATTATGAATACTATCGTCATTAGCCAATATTGAAACCGAACGCGACGTAGTATTCGACGCCACTCTTCCAACCACCTGCGACGACTCACCGTTTTCTAATCCTTCTCCGTCGTCTCTCTCTCCTTCCTCTCTACCGTTTGCATTCCCCATTACTAAAACTCTCTAACCTTTAACCCACGTAAGGTGCAGATCTAACGTTAGCCAAGAATCAAAAACAGAGAGGGAGGTGTCGTTGGAAGATGGTGAAAATATATTACAATACAATAACAATATTGCTTCTTCTTTCTTTCTGTTTTTTTTCTTTTTGGTAATGAATATAATAAAATGATAAGAGACGTGCGTTGGATAGTTTCAGTTGTGCTGCAGGTGAGGGAGATCAAAGAGACGAAGAAATATAGATAACGATAGGAGGAGGAGAGTTATGGTGTAAGGTCGATCTTAGTTAGAGCTCCATGCATCCGGTATGAAACATTATATTTTTAACGTTATCTCGTGTTGAAAAGGACCATTGCATCTGCGTCAGACGGCAAGCGGCAGCAATCGAACGTGAACATATACTCTACGTTATTAAGGAGTTATCGACGACAGAAGCTTTAAAAATTGTGTGTTTAATGTTGTGATGCAAGTGTTTTTAAAAATACGTTTTGATTGAAAAAATATAAATTGAATGCGATTTTTTTATTAAAAAATTATCAATAATAAATAGTATTTTTAATATATTTATATATCAATGAAAATTAAATTTATTTTTAAAATAATTCAAACAAAAAGGAACGTGATTGATTGATTAGCTTGACAAAATTATGAAGGTGAAACAATAAAGGAAAAGTCTAATTAAAAAAAAAAATTCTATGATTATTTGGAGATATCATTATAATATACAAAGGGATAATAAAACATTTTACAACTCTTCTCGAATAATACTTATTATCTATAATCATTTAAAATTGACTTACGAGAATAGACTTGAAAAAAATTGTTTCTATATATATATATATATATATATAAACTTTTGTATTGTTAAGGCTCTTTCTATCTTTTTTGTATATGAATTTAATTTGATATTCAACTTAGTACAATTTTTTTGTCATTTTTAATTATAATTAGTGTTTTGTTGAATTAAATTTATGTATTCCCTTTCATACCTATTAAGATAGACCTTGAATTTCTATTTAGAATTTTTGGTACCTATAAGTTAAATTTTTTAATATTACCTGCGTAAGGCGTGGAACATTTATCTAGTAATTACTTTAATTACAAACAAGTTAGGAAAGCTACGGTTAATTAGGAAAGTTATTAAGCACATTACGTGAAATTATTTAAGAAATTCATAATTTTATATATTATCATAAAGTGAATAGTATTTCTTTCAAAGGTATTTTCGAAATGGAATAATATTTTTCCTTTTATAGATTCTATCATTTATAATTGTATCTATGAAATAATTAGTTGTGAAGAAGATTTTATATGATGCAACAAGCATTTATATTAATAGTTTATGATTTTAAACTTTGAGAGATTGATTTAGCGGCTAAGAAGTTATGTTATTTTTTTATTTAATTTTTAGGATTGAATTTGAAAACAATATTTAAAAGAATTTATTAAATTGTTTTAAATATATTATATTAATGTAGAGAATGCATGTTTAAAAGTATATGAAAATAAACTTTAATTTCAATTGACATATAAACTGAATTGATAATACTTTTTATGTCACGTAAGAAAATATAATTTGAAAACATTATCTATATTGTGTATTAACCAAACATATTTAATAGTTTACAATTTTAGAATATTATAATTATCATACCTTCAAATAACCGCAATCAGGTGTTTATAACTCATATAGCATTTATATTTTGGTTAATATACCCCCCAAAAAATTATTAGGATCACGAGAAAGAGAATAAATGGACAAAATGAAGAGATTTCAGGACAACTATCCTGAGTAAGATCTTATACGAGAGAAACCCTATGAGAAAGAGATGATCCAATATCAGCATTCTTTAGGACCCACTGTATTGTTGTAAACTGGGTCCACATTGGAGGGCTTGAAAACCAAACTTAATTTTAGTGTCTAATCTTTGATTATTTTTTTATTTGAATACCCAATCTTTAATTTTATCTATTTAAGTTTCTTATCTTAATTTTTTTTTTTTTACATGGAATTTATGGGGAGTTCTGACGTGGTCATTCTCTCATGTCCGGAGGCAAAAGCATGGAGTTAAGTTGAAGAAAATAAAAAATACATATTTAGCATCTAACATTTTATTAAATTTTTATTTATTACCTAACTCAAATATAAATCTAATAAAAAGTTATGTCGTTTTTATTTTTATATTTGAATTTGCATCTTGATGACGTATTGTGAGATAAAGGCTACATTATAATTCAACTAATACAACACATCATGACGATATATTAAAAAGAAAAGGTAAACAACTCAAATAGATAAAATTAAATATTAGATATTCAAATAAAAATCTAATCAAATTTTAGCTAATATATTTATAGTTTTTTTTTTAATGTTTCAATTATATCACCTAATACAAAAGGAATCAAATTAACGTAATCCATTACTTCAATTTAACCATTTCATAATACATTCCAACGATAACAAATTGTAAATATTATATAAAAGAGCTTAAAAAATCAATTTAGCCGAACAATTTTTTTATACTTGAGAATTCATTTCTTATATAAAGTCTTTTTTTTTTTTTTTGGGCATAAACGGACAATTTATTGAAACAATATGATTGAAGGCTGAATTAAATTGGCGGTATTACTTACAGGATATAATCACATCATTGTGAGGTTTAAGTAGCTAAACCAAAATTTTAACTATGGATTGACGTGGATCTGACGTGGCGAATGAAAAAACCACGTGCTTGATGAGAGGGGCCCATTGTAAAGCACCCTTTCCCTGTCCACTGTCCACTGTCCACCACTCTGGACGTTAACATCACGTGACGTAGAGCGGTGTTTTGGATAAGATTTTGATTAGCATGTGGGTAGTGCGTAGCGTTGAGTGGTGACCTGACTCTCATTTTTTACACAAAAAATGAAAAAGGGAAAGTTTTTTCTACAGATCCAACGAGGAAACGCCAACTCAGCCTGATCTTTTGTAGTTATCCACATGTTTTTCTTAAATCGAAAGATTATTGCACCTTATCACGCCAAACTACATAATTGAGAATCTATATCGTGTGATTTGCTGCAATAACTACTATCAACACAAGATTTTGTGGCTAAGGAGGTTTCTGTCGTATGATTTGTCCTACGGGCTACGGCTATGAAAATTATGATGACAAGGACATGTTTGAAAATGTTGAGCTTATCCCCAACATGTTCTTATCTCCTTTTTCCCCCAACTTCTTAATTGTTTCGTCTCTTCTTGCTTTTTATCCATTTATTGGCATGAAGGTGGTCATAACTAAAAATGTATGAGTTTGGATAAGGCTGTCAATCGTTGAAACTAAGATGGAGAGCAATCTGTCACTCTCGGGTATGTCAGTCAAAAATGATAAAAGCTAGAAATACGCATGAATGTTCCAGATAAGTTTTATAATACTCCAAAAAAAAATAATAATAATAATAATTATGATACCTATAACAATTATTTCGTAAATTCACTTAAAGGAGAGATACGACACATGAACAAAAATAAAAAATAAAAAAATTAAAAGAACATAAAAAAATTTTAATTATTTTTTATGAATGTAAATATAATTTTTTTCTGTTTATTTATCTTTTTTTTTAAATAGATCTATGAAATAATTAATATGCATACTATTATTTACTTTTTGAATAATATAAAATTTCTCACGCATGTGAGTTAATCTACAAAACATTTTATAATATTTAAGAAATAACTAAGTAGCATGTCCAATAATTATTCTCCGAATCCATTTGAAGAAAAAAATAAATACATAAAATTACATCCGAATTCATATAAAATGATAAATAAGATTTTTATATTCGTTTAATTTTTTTTATCTATCTTTTTTCTCTAAATGAATCTATTAAGTAACTATTTTTTTTATCTATCTTTTTTCTCTAAATGAATCTATTAAGTAACTACTGTATATAATATTAATTATTTATCAAATATTATAAAATTTCTCTTAATCCACGTCAATACGAGGGATCAATCTTGAGGCTTGATGTGTCTAACGACGCATAACATGCACGAGTAACGCAAGCACCCGCGAATTACAAAAATGTCAACAGTCGGTGGTTAAGACCTCGATCTCCTTATTCATAGCCGGTTTATATATATATATATATATATATATATATTATCCAGAAAAGGAGAATAAGAAATAAAAACAGGGACTAAGGGATTGACATCTATAAATGTACTTTCTACGTCTCCCTTAATTTGGATTCCTCAGATTCATGGGGCAAGGTTACTTTAGTGTTGAAGCATTCCCTAAGAAATAGTTTTTACATAAAGAAGACTGCTCTTAGACTATGTCTTTACAAGCTGAATCCTTTTGACAATAAAATTACATGAAACAGTGACAATCTCTTAATATGGTTGCAGAAAGTGGATGTAGCTATCTTGTAGCATCAATTTTGTCATATTTCACGCCAATCTCCACCAGCATAGGAGGAGCAACAGTGCTTTACTCGTGGGGTTGTGCTAGAAATGGCTTGAAAGTCAATAGCAAACCGATGAGCTGGACCAAGTTTAATACGAAGAATACCATTTTATCACCTGCACTTCAACAAACCAATATAATTGCTCAACTCTCAAGGAAACAGAATCCATTTTATTTTGTTTTCAACAGCCAGTCCCATGATACAGATTGGTGAATGTCATAAGAGTGTCAATCAAATAGTGTCATATGGTAAAAAAGCCTGACATAATATGTGACCAGGAGGCCATGAACAACGTTTGCTATGACAACCAATTCAACACCAATTAATTACCTCCTCTGCAAAATGTGTTCTCGTCAAGAGCACATGATATCAGATTCTTAGGAGGCAACAGAGGGTACTGAATTCATTACCGTGCAGTTTTTACAGGATCTTATGCAAACTTGCAGTATCGTTAGTTTTTCTGGGCGACACGTCTCCCAGATTTATTGTGCTCTTGCTAATGTTTATGTGAAATGCTGGGTGTTCGTAAGTTTTCTTGCAGTTCTTGTTTATGGGGTTCAAAATAAATGATTACAAACCCCTCGCAAAAACTTACCACTCGTATTTTAAAGCTTAAAAATGCAGTTTTGTACGAAAAAAAAGGCAGACCTGAAACTTTCAGAATGATGCTGATGAAATATGTGCCTGTTTGAGTAGATCAACACCGAACTGCAAGTTTAATTTGACTCTGGACCTAGCTCTGACTAGAATCAGATACTTAAAACCCACTACAGTAACATAAAATGTGCTCATTAAAATACTAGGAAATTGACTTTTGATGATTTGTCTGACTGGTGCAGACAGGCTTCTATCACATGTTTATTTGATAATGCTAGCATGCCAAAGGTTAAGAGGTCTTTAGTCAACAGAATTGTTAAAGCCTATCGACAACATTTCAGAAAAGAAAGGTAAGTTTTCTGGTCCATGACGTGGAAGATGGGAAAGAAATGCATGCACCTGGAAGAAAAGCAGCCACTTGTCGCTTTTGTGCCCAAGAAAAGCTGTAGAATACACGAGTAGAGCACACAGGCCATTACCACTGGATGTACAGAAAGTCAAATCCTTAACTACTAAGTAGCCGTGCACATTTGAGTAGTACAAAAACCCAAATATATAACTAATTGTAACACTTCACTTACAGGGCACCACCTCCTGCAGGACCGAACGCTTTGAAAACAGACATTGCAGTCATCGAAATGCCATTAGCTGCCGCTCTCTGACTTTGGGGCTACACCAATAACATCCAGAATTTAAGAATAAGCCAGTGAATATCCCCAAAAGAAGAAGAAAAATCCAGTGAAAAAGAATTCAAACACTCGCCCAAACAAAGGACTTGGAAGTTAGAACTTACCACGGCATTGTTCTGCAATATGAATAATCCAGTGACAAGAGACACCTGGACGATATTGAACAAGTCAGCTCATAGATGTGCCTGATTAATTTCACAGTAAAATCAAAACAAGCGAGCGAGCGAGAGTGGAGAGAGAGAGCTAAAATTATCATGCCCGCCCCTACGCTGGCAGTTTAATTACAACAAGTGTGAAAAAATGTATTATATTGAGTCCAAAATTCAGTCGACAGTGTTAGGAATATGTGAAAAACTATTAAAAACTCTCTCTAGGAAAAATGCACTTACAGATAGAGTATTCCGGATGATGGATGCACAATTTATTACCAAATGCAGGGTTATTCCTGAAAGCATAGCTATATAAGGATAGCTTGCTAGTACTGGTATTGATATTGCCTGAAAAAGAAAATGATCAATTAATTTTACATTGAAGGGATTAAATATAATTACATAAAAAAAAAAAAAACATAGGCAGAAAAAAGTTTACCGCTGAAAATCGTGTCACCGTAATAGGTCCAAGTATTTTCTCGATTGGTGGATACAATAGAAGCTGGAACAGTAAAAGACCAAATCCTAAACATACAAGACAAATATCAGCAAACGTCTTCAAGGACCACCTTTGAAATAAGAAGCCTATTCAGTATACCAAGCAGTCAAAATGTCATCACTTATGGTATCCGTTCTATCTTTGTTCGTCTTTGTTCTGAGGATCTAAACTACCCTCAAGGAGTGTCCATTATCACTAACTTTACTCGTAGAATTTTTAGCAGCTCTCTAATTTTCTAGAATACTGCATTACACTAAGAATAACAAATATGAGAATAATGAAAAAAATTAAAACAATAGTAGTATTTAGACAGCCACAATAATGCAAATAGCTATGACATCAAACTAATCTACTAAATCTTATCGTTAATTTCCATTATTATATAAGCTATAGCACATGGTGATAAGACAATCATAAATTATACATGAGAGTGCTCACCAGAAATTGCTAAAACTTCACCAACATCTTGTGATGAAAAGCTCAGTCCTCCATACTTTTTGTCACTAACTGCCCACAGTGAGAATATCTATAGAACAAATCCAAATGTCAAGTTAAACTCGTATAATGATTCTATAACAATCCTAGGTTTTCTATGCAGGAACATTAAAAATTCCAATAAATCAGAAGAACCATAGAAGCCACAGAAGTGCTTTAAGAGCCTGTTTAATGCTGTCTAGATGGTAAACTCTCTCTCACTCCAGTCTCTCCCAATTGTTGATGAATTCTTTTTCTCTCTCAATCTACAATGAGCCATAAAGAATTAAGACAAATAGCTCTGATGGTAATACTTAAACTAGCGCTTCAAAGCCTTTTCAGACTTTTCAATGATGTAAGAGTGAAACAGGTTGAAAGAACTAACAGCATGTGCATTCATTCAAATGCTCAGTATAATAATGGAAAGTTGTACTGAAAGGAAACCAACTGACCTCGGCGTAAGCTATCTCTTGAAGAGAGAAAACGCAATACACAATGATAGCAGACATTAAGGGCCAATTCCTCCACAGATTTGCTTTCTGGGATGGCTTTCTTTCCTTGACTTCAATGACATATTTCATCCCATCAGATTCTTCTGTAGAAGCTTCCAGCACATCACATGAATGGCAACTTTCATTTACATTTTTGTCATGCTTGTGCAGTGTCTCCTGCATTTACTTAGATTCTCTTAGATACTATACCAACCAGGAAACTGCAGTGCTGCTATTAACAGAAAAACAATATTATCTTATCGTTTTTGCAATAAAGATTCTACAAATTGTGGAATTGGCTTTTTAGCATAAGTGATGAACAGTGGATATGTCCAGGAAGATTAGAGCAATTTTTATTGACACAATATGTGGAATTTAAGACTCTATGGAGGTGTACTACACTTATAATGATAACGGTGTGGATGAGAATCTCCGTCTTCTATTCGTTTTCTTTCTTTTATTTCAAAACCATTCCAAATAATGTCGAGGCCAGCTACTGTCGAGGCCAGCTACTCTAGAAAGCTCAAAGCACTAATATCAGTCCTGTAATGAAAGATAATGATCATGTCTACTGAGACTTACAGGAAGCCACCAACAAGCTACAAGAACTCCCACAGCATAAACTGATATTATAAGGCAGGGTAAGAAGTAGGGAAACCTGCAATATGCATAATATATTACAACTAAAAATTAACCTAGCAACTAAGAATATCATTAGCATATAAATAAACACACATTGAAAAAAAAGTTGATTGAAATTACAAAAATAGCAATTGAAAAAGCATGTTGACTACCTCCCAAAAATCGAGCTCTCAGCAAATTGATTTGGAAATTTTTCTGCAGGCTGATACCATCAAAACATCCCACAAAACAAGTAAGGAAGCTTGAAAAATCTAAGAACAAAAAAGGCAGAAAACTGAATGGTTCCCTGAAACAGGATTTCTAACTACAATTAGGAATGAGTAAAATATAGAAATGCAGGAAACAGACTTCTAACAACAAATAAGAAGCATACAGAAGAAATAATTTGAGATTTTGGGGAAGTAACAAACAGGAGGTTGTCCTTGATAACTTAACAAATGATAAATTGAACAGATACTTAACAAATGATAAATTGAACAGAACAGCGGATATATGCCATTGACATCAAAAGTTTCGATAGAGTTTCAAGATCTAAGAAATTGCAACCCTAGACAAATGATATAACTAGATATAAATGTTGTCGACGTAGAAACATCGGCATCATGTCACTGCACTGCATCGTTAAGATTTAAGAGAACCCAAAACATTTAGAGACTTTGCAGAGAAAATGTTATTCATGTCCCAATTATTAGTGGTGAGAAGTTCATTATCCTTTGATAAGGTAGCCTTCCAGTATATCTTACCCCTTCAAATGAAATAAGTTGAGTTCGTAGAGTGGGTATTGAGAATATTATCACCCACGAAGAGTTCTAATATTTCATGTTTGATGATTTTCCAATATTTGTGAATCGAAGATACAATGTTAGCATTGCCTGTACTTAATTTAGCAGCACTGCAAATAATTTGAGAAGAATTACCTAAGCCCTATATTTCTATCAATCTAAGAATCATTACAGTGAAACAAATGTGCAAAACTTTGTCAGTAAAACTGGTACAATACAAAATCACCGAATTTTTTAAACAAAACGATATCTTGAGCAGTCACCATTTCAAAACAAGTGTATGACACAACAACATCAACCAAAAACCCAAATTAAGCAGCAAAGTATAGCAGATGTGGCACACTAGCTCTACCATATGGTAGCCAAATGTCCCACTACAAAATGTACCCAGGATCCTACCACTGAAAAACCATTCAATTTTCAGTAGTATTTTCACCAAAATGTCCACACCTGAGCAAGAAAACCTCCAATAGCAGGGCCAAGAATTAGTCCTAGGCCTCGTGATGTACTGACCTGCAATTGGTAGCCCAGTTTAGAATTTATACTTTAAATAATGCATCCACAGGCATGATATACTTCCAAAGAAATTGTCTTACAACTGATAGAGCCACAGACCGATACTCTTCTCTACAGACTTCAGAAGCATATGCCTAGAGAGCCAAAAAGAAAAGGTTACAGAGCACAGAAACTGTATAACTAAAACTTTGTGCATATATCACAAGAACTTTAGATACATTTTTCTATGTGTCTGTACGTATGTGCCTGTGTGCAGCATTTGCAAAGAGAGTACCCTAATCGTGCCAAGTAGACTATTGAAACATCCAAGAAGAAATCTCATAGAAAGTGCCATCCAGAAGCTTGTGCTGAGGCCAAACAGAGCACTGAACACAACCCTGAGACCAAAATTATTATCAAAACAACAGTTTCAGAGGAAAATCTTTTGAAAATGCACTAGAGTCATTTCTTCAATGATAGAACTCTGAAAGATGAAGTTTTAAAACTGCTAACACTGAAAATGTTCCCATCAATATAATAGGTTTTCGACCATATCGATCAGCTAACCACCCCCAGAAGAATGATGTCAATGCTCTTCCAATCATAAATGAAGACCCTGAGAGGAGGAAAAAAAAAGTTAAGGGAGACAAAACAATTTTTAGCCAGCACTCTCATAATACGCACTAATTGTATAAAAAAGAATAGTTGAGACATGAAATAGCAGCAAACATTACCCACAAATCCTGCATAGAAACCAATATCCTCCTCTCTCTCAGCAATGTGAAAGTCCCTTACCTGCCCAAAACAAAAAATAGAAAAAAGAAAGGAAGAAAAGAAAAGTGTTAGAATTTATCTCCTTCCATATAAGCAAAACCACCAATTATAAAAGCAAGAAGCTGCAGAGGATGCAAATCCCTCGAAGCTTTAGGAGGCCACAGCAACTAGCATGCACGACATGAATTTGTGTGACAAGATCAGTCTGTGACTTGTATTTTGAAAAGGGTAACTCTGTACATCATGAAGATCAATTAAGACCTTACATAAGAGATATAAGCATGAATTCTCACTGAAAGATAACATACCATGAAGTAAATGAACGGGAACAGTGACGATATTGGCAAGGCTGACAAAAAAAGATAGCAGTGTTAGAGGTAAATTGACAAATATTTGGCTTTACAGTCCTAAGAGATTACCAAAAAAAAAGAACAAGAACAGAGATTTGGAATCAAGATTTCTAAGAATAGGGATCACTTAAAATCCATAATAGACATTGCCAAAAGAAATTAATCCCTGTTAACTTCACAGGACAATATCAGTCTTAAACTGCATGCTAAAGAATTGAGTACACTGCTAAGACAGTAACAGGAAAAGGGAAATCAGCCAAGTCCTAAGAGCAATCAATTATAAAAGCACAAAGCAACCTTTATTTCTTGAAAAACTTACTCCAATTTGAATCAAGAAATTATCAGAACGGTGAGATCATATACTTGTACAGTTGTACTAGTTCATGTTCAACTCTTCAAAAGATGAAACCCTAAGAGCTAACATCATGATTCTTTGAGAATTCATGTTATGCCTAAGAATTTTTTGCTTTTTCCTGATTTTTGCTTTTTCCTGATTAATTCAATGAATGCACGCCATGATCTGCCCACATGCCACAAGCCAACTGATCAAATGTAAATTGTTAGACACCAATCCCCACAAAGCAAAAACCATATGGATTAAAGATTAAAACGACTAAACTGAGTAGTAAGGAAATTGGAAGAAAACAACTGATTTCCGACCAACATAGAGCAGAGTTAAGGTGGATATGAGAAGTTGCATTAAGAAACACGAAAAATAAAGCTAAAAACATGTTACTAATAAATGAATGAAGGTGGATGGATGGATACCAGTGCAGAGAGAGACAATCCAAATATAGGACAAGTTTCTGTAAGGGACACCCCTTTGTTCCTCTTTGAGACGATCGATCTCACAACCAGGGCAGTTCTCATGGTATTCTTTCTTCTTCTCCAATAAAGCATTTCTACTCTCAGTCTCAGCCATCACTCCAAATTCTACTCTAGTATGTTAAATTAGATGGATGACTATCTTCACTGCTGACTCGTTTCTTATTGCAGGATGGAAGTTGGAAGAAAATTTGAAGAAGCAACCTTAGTGACGTTTTGAATAGAGACAGAAACTTGGTTTGTATAAAGTTTTGACATGACATCTTGGCTGCTTCTACTTGTCTAGATGTAGAAAATCACAACTCAGAAGGTTAGCCAGTCTTTGCCGGCTGGCTCTGTATCGTCCATTTCTTTATTGGGTGGCTTGTCAATGAGTCAATCCCATTCCGTATTTCTATTGGACGAACAAAAATAACCTTTTTTCATGACATCTAATATTACATGGTGCTATTATATATATATATATACAAAACTAGCTTATAAAATATCTTTCTATAATAAATATAATAATCAAAACCAATAATCATTTTGTATATTCGTTAAACTATAACTTAGATCTTTCAAATCATAGTTAAATAATCTATAAGTCTTACAAAAATATATAGATTAAATCTTATCACAAGAAAATCTCTTTTATTTATAATTTATTATTATTATTATTATTATATACATAAATAAGAATATATTTCATAATGACAGTGAGTTTTATCAAATATATTGTATTTAGTATAGTATATATCGTAAGAAACATATTGGATAATAATAAAAACTATAAGTTAGTTATGTAATTTATTTTATACTTGCAAAGACTATTTACATTAAAATAAATATTAAACCTACGAGATCAATGATTCAAAAAAAACCTCAGGCCATTACTTTTAAAGTTAAATTTACTTTTCAATTGTTTAACACTAAATTTAGAGTTCTTTTATATATATATAAATTAAAAAATTTAGAAAAAAAATTAAAATTGCTATAAAATAGTATGAAAGAGGGCTATTTTTGTCAATTTATCAAAGTATGGAGTGGATTTAACAAATAGTAGAGTGGGAATAACATCATCCACTTGGTTTCGTTTTCTTTACTTCTTTTTTTTTCAATTTTTTTTTTTTAAATTAGGTTTATCAATAAGGATTTCTTGGGATTAATTTTTTTGTGTTTTGAGACTAATCTTTTTCTGAACATGGATAAAGAGCACTCTCCAACATATAATTTGAGATATTATAAGAATAAATTATTAATAATATTAATTATAAAAATCAAACATCAAACTTGATCTATAAGTCAACATTCACTTACCAACAGGTTTTTATTTTTGATTTCATAATAATAGATCTCAAAATAAAATAATGTATCTAAATAATAAATTCATAATAAGTAATTTAAATATTTTAGTCGAGATGCTTAATCGATATATAAAGATATAAAAACTTAAATATAAGTTGACAAAGTGAATTGAAAAAGTAAACTACAGTATTTTTCTTGAGATATTGTAAAATTATAAAAATTACCCAAAAATTTAAAGATTTGACAAAATCTTTTTTCAGGTTTGAGAAAACAACGGATCACTATTTTAGTAGACAAATACAAAATTTTACCACGTGCTGATTGCTTGACAATCCCTTGTCAAAAAGAATGACCGAGCCCAAGACAGATGGTTTTGCCTCCTTTTGCTATTGGCATTCGAATCCTGACAAGATGGACCCCACCCACCCACCCAATCTATTTCCAAGCACCGTACGTGAGAATGACATGAATATCCACGCATTATACATTAGGCAATATTAAAGTCGAAGCCTGACGCAAGCAGAGACAAAGCAACTTTGCAAGAAATCGGTTACAATTAAGTTAACGATGTCCATGTCTGAAACATCTCACTGTCATTTCACAACCTAATCCACGGGTCGGACACAATTCTTTCCCAAGTTTCCTTTTTCCCAAGTTTCCTTTTCTAGCAACACAAAGCGGAGACCCTAGAGATATATAAACATAGTAGCACATTTGGTGCTTTCTGAAATACCAGGAAAGTGGGCTAGGTGGAACCACAACAGTAGTAGTAGTAGAGGTGAAGCAGCCTCGTGATAAATTCTCACCACATTTTCTTCACAAACCCAAGCGGCTAGGACTAACACTTGATCAACTACGAAACTCTCACATGGCTAGATAGATGTATTTCAGAAAAGAAGCAGAGTTACTTAACTTATACTTCAAAGCTGATATTTCTGAGCTGGTGATGGTTCAATTGGAAACTTCTTCTAAAATTCCTACAAACAAAGAAATACAGACAGAAAGAGAAAGAAACATCAGGATGTAAAACGCTTTGGAGAACAAAACCATTTCCTTTAACTTAAAGAACTCATTTCACTGAGACAGAACTAACCTAGACTTGATTTTGCCTTTGGTGCCAAATTAAATTCATGAATGCTGAAAAAAAAATTTCACTATTTTAATCCATTTCCTTGTTTCTTAGTACTATCACTCAAAATTCATAAATGCTGAAAAGAAAATTTGACTATTAATTTTTTTAATGTCTAATATATATATATATATATTAATTCCTATCCAAATGTATTTACTTCTTTTTAGGGATTTTTATTGTTTTTTTCCATCCTCTTCTACTTCTTGTGTAATCATTAATTTTGTTTTCAAAATTAAAATAAATATCAAGGACAAATAAATTAATAGAAAAAAGTAGCTATATATAGAGAAGAGTTTACTTAACTATTGCCCTATAAAGGTTCCAGTGATGATTATTAATATGATGATTAGAGGGTTGATGAGCATATAGGTGTTGAAGGATTTCAACCGAACGAATGGTTTTGCATGAAAGTAAACAATTATCCGAAGACAGGTAGTTTTGAAGGTGTCGCCTTTGTACCACAATTGTACCAAGAATCCGAACGAGGTTCGATTGCGCAAACTTTTAAGCACGGAAAAGGATTTTGAGTGAAGATATGGTTTACGATATGGCTACGGGAAAGTGCAAATCTTTTCATGGTTTGAGCCCTCGCAAAGTCCGGTTCGCTTTTGATGTGTGTACGATGATGTCCTTGTTAGCGTGAGTCGTTATTCCCTAATAAATAGGGAGATTTTCTAGAGTTTTATTTGTAGTACATGTCAAATCCCATGTATATCTTTTACTTCCTAGAATAGGACTCTATAATGTATATCTTTTACTTTTTAGAATAGGACTCTATACTTGCCTATATAAGCATGGCTTCTCTCTGTACGGAACATGGAAAAAAAATAAAATTGAAAGACATGAGTTCGACATGGTATCGGAGCATAGACCACAGGACTCGTAGAATTACAAGAAAAACACAGAACTCAAAGATATGGGAGATCAAACTCTCACGACAAATACTCAAGGAGAGAACTCAATCCTTGCCGACCTAACATCCGGAATGTCCCGGATGTTAAACCGGACACGGATTGTAGCAAACCACGACACGATTCTTTGCACCAATTGGTGTTAAGTTGGATGACACCAATTATGGCCTTTGGTCCCAAGTTGTGGAGATGTACATCTTTGGCAAAGACAAGTTGGGATACATTAATGGAGATTTGCCACGACCGGAAGAAACGAATCAAAATTTCGGAAGATGGAGAACGAGAAAACGCAATAGTGAAGGGATGGCTAATTAACTCTATGGACCCTAAGTTGATCGAGCAACTATATCAAATACTCAACAACGAAAAGAGGTATGGGACGCCATTGCCATGACATACTTTGATGGAGCCGACACCTCACGGAGTTTATGATGCGAAAAGGAAGGTGACAAGGCTAAGGCGAACGGAGGGGCCATTGGAACATACTACGATAATCTTCGAGGTTTATGGAGGGAAATAGACTTTCGTCGTCCAAATCCTATGAGTCGTGCTATCGACATACGGAGGTATAACTCTATGGTGCGGGAAGATAGAGTGTATACGTTCTTGGATGGATTAGATGATCGGCTAGACAAAATTCGAGGAGATGTGCTTCAAATTATACCATTCCCTACGGTGGAACAAGCCTATGCACATGTTCGTAGGGAAGATCTCGAAAAGCGAGTAATGTTGACAAATGGAGAGTCCGTACACAGTGCGGCTATGATCTCAAAAGGAGGACGGCGATCACAACAACCTTCACTTTTATTATCATCTGGTGGAAAGTTTAACACACCACAAAAATGGCGATCACAAGTAAGAGGTGGAGGTTGTACGCACTATGGAAATATGAAGCATACCAAGGATACATGCTTTAAATTGCATGGATATCCAGATTGGTGGCAAGAACTTAAGGAAAAAAGAAACGTGAAGCGGGGCCGGTGCGCACGGATGTAACTCCTAGTCGAGCTGCACTCATGAAAATCGAAAGTCCCTCTTCCGTGGTAGAAAACACCGAACATCACCTATCCCTCATACCACGAGGGAAGTCATCGTCCGCCGCAACAAACAAATCTATTGCCCTTAACGAGTTCGAGTAACAATGTGTGGATCATTGATTCGGGAGCAACGAGACCACATGACCTTCGACTCACGAGGATTTGATCGAAAATACTCAACCAAAACGAACACATGTTGCCAATGCTAATGGAGTAACTTACCCGATTACGAGAGTTGGAAGAGTGGCTTTTTCATCTTCTTTTCACTCGTCCAATACCCTATTAGTGCCATCTCTTTCAAGCAAACTAATATCCGTTGGACAAGTTACTCAAGAATTGAATTGTTGTGCACTAATGTATCCTAGTTTCGTTTGTTTCGGGATATTCTCACGAAGGAGATTATTGGTCGTGGTACTAAAAAGGAAGGGTCTGTATTACTCGGATGATATCACCACTGGCCGAGTAAATAATATTCGACGGACTAGTGAGAAAGAAAGACGGATCCGGCTATGGCATCGACGATTGGGACATCCATCCTTCTCATACTTAAAGCACTTATTTCCAAGTTTGTTTTCCAACTTACATGAATCATTGTTTAAGTGCACAACGTGCATTCTAGCCAAGAGTCATCGTGTACCTTACCCAATAAGTTTGAAGAAATGTGAGACTCCATTTATGCTAATTCATTCGGATGTTTGGGGTCCAGCCTCTATTTCAATTTCCTCGGGCA